TTTCGAATGGTGTATGAATTATTTGTGTTGTTATTACAAGTGTTGCTGTGACCCCCTAGGAAAAGGTTATGCCCCGCCCTGTAGCTTTTCTAATTTGGGGCGTTCTAGATTATTACCATATTTTACTTTGAGATGAACCTCCTGTAGGCAGACAATATCCATATTCTGTCTTTTGAGCCTTGTTAATGTTTGTTTTCGCTTGCCTGGTGAGTTGATACCATTGATGTTCAAGGATATCAGCTTTATTTTTCCATCTTATTTGTATGGTTTTGGTCCTTTCCTTGTTCTTGTCTCAGTTTATGTTCTTGTCCTGGCTCCCTCTCTCTCGTCATTCAGTTTCCCTTCGGTCCCTTATATCCTGCTCCGTAAATTTTTCCTCTGATGTCTGTTCTTCTTCTTATTTTCTGCTTCCTCTCTACTATCTTGTTCGCATTCTCCTATTATATAGTGATAATAAAACTCCTATGCCTTTTCCAGAGAATTAATGTGGATTTTTTTCCCCCTGCCAGGTTATTAGCATCCCCTCAGGGATAAGCCATCTAAACATCACTCTGTATTTGAGCAGTTGGGTTGATAGGAAATGGTAGTTTCTTCTCTGTTCTCTTATCTGTTTTGGTATCTGCTTTACTGTTATGGTTTCTTTTTCCTTATAGACAGAATGTTGGTCTTACCTGAATGTGTCTTTTCAGGGGAAGAGAGGGAGTGGTCACGTGTGGGACATACCCAAGCTTAGTCCCGGAGGGGGGGGGGAGAAACAGCAACAACTACGGCCCAAGGGGAGTATCAGCTGCCACCCTCTGTACGACCCTCCGACCAAAAGAAGCATCTGCCAAGGGGAACGCATCCAGATGATAATGACGGATGAAAGGCGCCGGTGACACCCAAGTAGCTGCCCAACAAACGTCCTCAAAGGGGGCCCTAGTGGCCCAAGTCGCCGTGGTCGCAGCACTCCTAGTGGAATGGGCTGTTATCCCTGACGGAACAGGATCCCCCGCCGCCCCATAGGCCTCCACGATAGCCTGTCGTAGCCAATGGCCGATGGTAGCCGAAGACACCCTGGCCCCCAACGTCCCAGGTTGGAACGAGACAAACAAAGCCTCAGACCGGTGGACCCCTGTAGTCCACTGGAGATAAATGCGCAAAGCGCAATGAACGTCTAAACAGTGCCAGAGTCCCTCCCTATCACTAGATGGGCCTGGGCAAAAATCAGACAGGACGTTTTCCTGCGCCCTATGAAATGGAGTGTTCACCTTGGGAAGGAAGGTAGGGTCAAGACAAAGAACCACCCGATCCTGGTGAAAGTGGCAAAGATCATCCTTGGACGAAAGAGCGCCCAGCTCTGAAATCCGCTGGGCCGAGGTAATTGCCACCAGAAACGCTACCTTAAGGGACAAGAATCTCAGATGACTAGATCGTAGGAGCTCGAACGGAGGCCCCATCAAGGCCCTGAGAATGAGGGGAAAATCCCAAGTGGGGAACTTGTGTATAGGAGGAGGTCTGAGATTAGCCGCCCCCTTAAGAAAGTGCTTGATCATGGGGGCGTGTGAGAGAGAGGAAGACCCCAACTCCCCAAGACCGAAGACAGAGCCGCCACTTGGTGGCGCAGGGTGTTGTGCGATAGGCCATCGTCCAAGCCTTTCTACAGAAAGTCCAAGACATTGGGAATAGTGGCCCTGGCAGGGGAAATGCCAAGGGGAGCACCACCTAACCAAGGCAGCCCAGTTGGAGTTGTAAATCTGGGTCGTTGATGGGCGCCTAGATGCGTATAATAATATCAATATAAATAAATATAATGGGTTTTTTACTTATTAAATTGATTACATTATAAAAATATCTAGAATATATAAGTACACACACACAAACACACACACTATATTAGTCTATATAAGTTTGCTTTCACTTACGCATATGTCCACTGGGTATTATCTATATGTATCTATGAGAATATATATGTCAGAAAGTATAAAATATAAAAATGGTCTTTAAGGTATTCTATATAAAGTTCCAAGTCTAGTTTTAAACGAACAGCTATACAGTAACTAATATCTATACAGGATTTTATATAATTGTATCAGGTTACTTAAATTGCACAGATTTCCGGAAACTTAATAAGTTATTTTTCCTTGTTCTTACTGTTGTATCAGCTTCTCCCTCCCTTATTGTTTCCTTCTATCTATTTAACACAGTCACCATCACAGTTCTCTCACTTCCCCTGTCAGATCAAATCTACTGTCTTCTTCCTAGGCAGAAGCTTCTTACAGTAGGTTTTTTCCTTTTCTGCAATCCACAATGTTTAGTCCCAGTCTAATCACAATCTCAGCTTGTGTTCCTTCTGCCTGTGGCAATTCTCCAGCAAGCTCAAGCTCAAGTACATTTCCTCCATTCCTTCTCTGAATATTAACTCAGTTTTCTCAAGGTTCCGCTCCCACCGCTAAAGTGCTGCTTTTTTTCCTGCCTTGGAAACTCACTCACCGTCCAAGCTATAGGTTCACACTTCCTGAGAGTCGCACCAGTTCTTCATTCCAACTCCTCAAACTCCACCAATACTTTCAGATGTTTCTTTCTTCTCGCTTCCTTCTCCATTTAAAGGGCTGTCACGCCTCTGGATCCCGTCATAAAGGCCAGTCTCTCCAGCACCAGATTTGAGAGGTTTCTCCTACTATAACAGGGGATCACACCTCTCCCTGTATCTTCCAAGCTTCCCCTTTCTGTCGTTGGTCCCTCCGAGACCCAGCTCTGCTTTTGCAAGCCTCCTGGCACAGAAAATTGGGCAGAAAGAACAGAGCCCTATTCTTCTGCTCTGCGCCAGTGTGATTCCACCCCGGGAGTCTCAGCAAACACCACTCCTGATAATGTTACCTAGTTTGGGTAATGAAACATCTGCAAGAAAACAAGCAAGTTCAGAAAGCACCAAGGACCTCTAATTTATGGTTCTGTTTTTGGTAAGGTCAGTAGTGGTTTCTTTTTGCATAAAAATGCAAATATGAATTAATCAGTTATGTGTTCTCTCTACTGTCCATTACTTTATCGTTTTTTTCCTATTAGTGGATCGATTGTTTCTTTGACTTTTTTCTGGGGGGAGGTTTGTGTTGAAACTTTTTTCAATTGTTTTTGACATTTGTTACAAGTTTTATTATGTTTAAAGCCTAGCTTTCCTAACTTCATCTTTACAGGTTCGAGCTCTTTATTGATATTTTGCCTTAATTATGTGTCCCTCTTTCCATTTTTTGTACTTCTCCTTTTTCTTCTCTCTGTTAGTCTGAGCATTCTTTGTGATATCATGCTGTTTTCTTCTTGTTTATCTTTTTTCGTAGTATTGAACAAAGCTGGCCTTTTATAATTATATTTTTCAGGCATTCCCAAGCTTTTTGAGTTGATTTGCCCTTTAAGATTTTCATCCATAGGATCCTTCCTAAAAGCTCTAAGTTTGTTAAAATCAGCTCTTTTAAAGGCTAAAACATTGATTTATGTTCTATTGCTTGTGTCTGTTTCATATTGAATTCTAATATTACATGGTCACTCTCCCCTAAAGTTCCTACAACTTCAATACCCTCTATTACTTCTTCTCTATTTCTAAGAATAAGGTCCAGTATAGCTGTCCCTCTAGTTGCCACCTCTACTTTTTGGATGATGAAGTTGTCAACTAGGTGATCAGAAATCTGCTTGATCTCCTATTTGTTGCAGTTTGTTTCCCAATTGATATCAGGGTAGTTTAAAGTCCCCAATACTATTGTGGTGGGTTTCCTATATACACTAGTTAACTGATTAGCAAAAAAAACAAACAAACATTTTTTTCTTCTTGGTTGGGTAGTCTGTAATATGCACCTATGGCAATGTCATTCTTTTTACCTTATATGTTGACCCATATGCATTGTGGACAGCTTTCATACTTGTTGTGTGCATCATTATAATTTCTGTAATGGCAGTTATATCATAATTGCCCTTATGTACTAGTATTTCAAGTTCATCCTGTTTGTTCCTAAACTTTTTTTATAAGGTTTATTGGGTTTTTATTTTTAAACATATATCAACATCAATACATGAACAGTGTGGCCTCTGGGTATGGTTTATGTTAATACAAATAACAACAGTCAATTACTACATTAATCAAACTTATATAATCTTAATATTAATATATTTGATTATTTTAAAGAAGTTATTCAATATTTCAATGTTCCATTCTAATGTCAATGATCTTCTTGAACATACATAGTAATACCATCTTTCAACCTCTCATATTTCCATCTCATTATTACTTATTTTTAATTTATATAGAAATTATAACTACTAATATCCCCCAAATTCTTGTTTCTACCTCTATTCTGGCTTGTAGTAAGGCCACTCTTACTAATCCTAATGTCAAGACATATATTTATGTTACTATAGAGTCCTTTATATAAAGGTATATATTCTTATTTCTACCCTTATTCTAGTTTTTAATCAGGCCATCATTATATTAGAAAAAAGTAGTAGTAGTAGTAGTATCTTATTTCTACCTATTTCTAGAGTTGCAGCTCTCTGCAACATCACAAGGTGCCCCTCTTTGCTTCACCACTCCTACAGGGTGACTTTGGCTCCTTTCGGAGCCCACCAATAGAGAGAACTTAGCACGGGAGCATGGAGAGCCACCCCGCATGTCTGATCCCAACGTGATATCAACCGGATGTCTTTGTTCCTAAACTTTGAACCTTAGTATATAGGCATCCTATATCTTCTACTTTGCATCTTGAGTTTTTTGTCTTTCTTTTTACTCCCTACCTCCTTATATGATTAGCTATCTTGTGGTTTTTGCTCAAATTTAGGTTCTAAAGGTTGGTCACCCTTATCCCTCAATTTTAGTTTAAAGTAGGGTGGACAAAAGTATCATTTAAAAATAAAAAATATATCAGATTTTATTTATTTTTATCAAATTTATTTTAATAAAATACTTTTGGAGTAAAAATCTATCTAAAGATAATTTTCTATTTAACATACATTAATAATTTAGTTTATTCAGCATAAAATGGAGTTTACTTATGTAGTATAAGGCTGTATATTCTGCAATATTTATATTTTTGGTAAACTCATTTAATGAATCCTAGCTCTGAAAGCTAAATAGGAAACCTTAATTTTGTTTTCAAATAATAATATTAAAGATTCTAACTACCAGCAAGAATGAGTCCTTACATTAAAGAGCATCTGTCATTTCAAATCCATCATGGCAGTCTGTTAGCGGGGATCCAGTCACCTGCTGCCTGCCGCGTCCCTTACCTTGTTGTGTCACTGTCCTTCACCAGCCATCCCGTTAAATTGAATGGGACTATCGGTGACTCAACAGTGGCTGAGAGGAGGAACCACTGCGGGACAGAGATGACTGTTGCTCTTTAAAAAATATGATTTAAAAAGAGTTCATTTAAATCAAACCTTTGATTTAAATCATGATTTAAATCAACTTGATTTAAATCAAATCCACCTTGTTTAAAACCCTTCTGATAATATGAGCCAGACTTTTTCTGAATATATTCTTTCCAGTTCCTGTGAGATGCTGTCTATCCCTTGACAAGAGCTCTTCATATTGGTAATTAAGATCCTAGTCTTAAGAAACCAACGTTCTCGACAACACCATTTTTAAGCCAATGGTTCATTCTAAAATCCATTGTTCCCTCATTGAATGTTGGTCTTTTACTGGAAGTATAGCTGAAAACATCATTTGTGCTCTTAATTCTTTGACTATCTTCTCTAACTGTTCATAATCTTATTATAGTTTTCAGATTCATTGTTGTACCATTCATTCCCACGTTTCTACACTTCTAAAGGGATAGTAATCTGTGGGGTTTCTTTTAGTAAGGTTCTTAATTACATCTTTTGATTTTTGCTTCAAGGAGATAACATATCTCCCTAGATTGATTGTCTGGTCTGCGGACTATGGTTTCTTTTCCCTTTGAATCTCTTGCCACTAATACTTGCTTTTTTTCCCTAGGAAAGTCTGGGATACTTTTTCCTTTTTGTTGAAATATCATCATTTCTGAAGCTTCATGACTTTAAGATGGCAAGGGGGGGGAGAAATTGGTCTATCCAAGCCAAAATAAAGAAGATGGACATTACTGTGGAAGGGACTTTTATTAACTTTAATTGATTCTCCTGAATTTCTTTGCTTTTAAAATAAAGACTGCCTAAATGATGTTTTGATTCTGTGGTGGGGAGGGGGAGAAATAATTCTAATTTTACTTACTTCTGTTTGACAAGCCAGGAGGGCTATTAAACAAAGAAGCACTTGTTTCAGGTTTATTTTGTAGCTTACATTGCAGTAGCGTTGTTTGACCACATAAGGGAGCCAAAAGATTGTAATATTATCAATTCTTATTAACTCTCCAGTTACATTATTTTATATACTAAACCCATTGGATTTAATGTTAAAAATATGCAAGTTCAAAGTTTAAAATTTTAAACTTTGGTTACATTTTAGAGAAATGATCAGTCATAAGAAAACTGAAAGAATATCAGGAGATGCAGAATCTCGAAGATCTTTTTTGAATGTATATACAGCTAAATCACATACACTAATTCAAGGAATGGGAACAAAACTTGAATCAAAATTAGACGTACTTTAAAAAAAAGTGATGAAATTTCAAAGAAACTTCACAAGGAGATATAACATTTGACTGGAGATATTAAACAGGATATGATGGAGCATAAATTGAAGAAGAACAATCTCCAGCATGAAGCTGATTTGGATGAAAGATCTCTTTTAGAATTATAATTTAAGCAACTCCAATTAAGATTTTGGACAGTTCCTGAATTCTCTGGAGAGGATATTAGACCAAGGATAATTAAAGGCTTGGCCAGGTTAATTAATTGAGAAGACCCTCGACCTTGAAACAGGCAAAATGTATTAAGTAAATCCCAGATTTGCAACTATAAGAAAACTACCAAGGGGTATTTTAATCCATTTTGTAAGAAGAACGAGAGATGTTTTGGATTGTCATTTTAAATCTAAAGTAAAAATGAAAAAGTGGATATAATTGTTTTGAAAGAAATCCCTGTCAGAATTTGAGAAAAAAGAAAACTTATTCCTTCCTCAACAATAACCTGAAGAAGAGAAAAATTCCCTTCCATTGGGACATACTTGAAGGACTGATATTCACTCATCAAAGAGCAAAGATTTAGACCGAATTCTATAGAAAAAGCCAAGGACTTCTTGATTAAATAAACTAATTTTGGTTCCAGATGAGGAAATTTGGGCAGACAAGTAGCAAGATGTAAATAACCCTCAAAAAGTTGATACTAAAGAAGATGTGGCTGAAATGTCTGTACAGGAACTTACTATTTTATCCAAGGTTCAAGATTAAGTTCACAAATGCCCCATCTAAACATAAAAATACTTAATTACTTAAGGAAATTTAATGTTAATATAATTTGCTTTCAAGAAACACATATTAAGAAACAAGACAAGAAGAATTTAATAAATAAAATATTAGGGAAGTGATTTATATATGCTGGAGTTAATTGAGTTGTTATAAACCCTTATCTAAACCTAAATTACTTTTATTAGATGAACGTGGTAGATTTGTAGCAGTGGAAATTGAACTGAATGGCATAAAATCAATACAAGTAATCCTTGACTTACAACACTTCATTTAGTGACCATTCAAAGTTACAACGGCATTGAAAAAATGGCTTATGAGCATTTTTCACACTTACAACCATTGTAGCATCCCTGAAGTCATGTCATCAAAATTCAGACACTTGGCAACTGGTTCATATTTATGACAGTTTTAGTGTCCTGAGGTCATGTGATCCCCTTTTGCAGATATGTCCAAGATCCCAAGGTCCGCAGGCCAGATCTGACCCCAAGGTGAATAGAACTGGCCTGTGGGTTTGCCCTGAGGACAGAGAAGGAC